AGAACCTGGACATCTTTGGGGACCACCACACTACCCACACAGGGGGGTGTCCTGGGAACAGACCCAAAGGTTAGAGGTCACAAGATGGCAACCAGTGAGATGACCCCCGCCATGGGGTGTGCTTTATGCCTCAGCCCCAGTGCTGTTCTTTCATTACAACACGTACTACTGAACTTCAATGCCCAACTCCTACCACGGCCCATCACCTCACAAATGTGGCACATGAGGAACACGGCAAGAAGGCCCACGACGCACCCAACAGAGAAGCACGGCCAGCCCTGCAGTCAGTCCCACTCAGCACCAGGGCCTGCTTCTCCACGGAGGCTGGCAGTGGTCTCACATTTCCGGGGGTCATTTAGTGCCACATCACAATAAAAGAATCGTTTAAAAAAATTAAATACAAGCCCACACCAGACAGAGAGGAGCTCGCCTCAGAGAACACCGGGTAGCGGAGTCCCGTCCCCGCCCCACCTGGAACCTGACACAGCGGTGGGCGAAGGCGGCACACAGGAAGCCTGGCCCCGAGAACGCATGGCTCGTTTCTCTTCCTGCTCGAGAGAGGAAGCCTTTGTGCAGCAGTTCCCCTAGCCACGGGGGCTCGCGGCCGCCTGACCACAGAGACTGAGGCGCCGAGGCCAGGCCCCAGGGAAGCCAGAGTATCTCACGTCCCAAAGGCCTGGGCAAAACAGTCCATCCAAGCCAGAAGGGTAAAAACAGAAAAATGAGCACAGGGGCCATCACGGGAGGTGACCTCCTGCGGAACCATAGCAACATCAACCTGGCAGGCTGTGCAAGCCTCTGCTGGCTGCTGTAACAAAGTCCACAAATCTAGTGGCTGAAAGCAACCTAAATTTATTCTCTTTCAGTTCCAAGGTCAAAATCAGTCTCACAAGGCTAAGCTGGGTTATCCAGGTATGGGCAGGGTATGGTCCCTTCTGGAGGCTCTAAGGGAGAACCCATTTCCACATGGTTTTCAGCATCCAGTGGCCTGGCCGTCTGCACTCCCTGGCTCGTGGCCCCTTCCTCCAGCTTCCAAGGACATCTCTGCAACCTCTGCTTCTGTCATCGCCTCTATTAACTCTGACCCTCCTGCCTCTTACTTGAAAGGATCTTCGTGATCACACTGGACCCACCTATCCAGACCATCCAGAATGGCCTCCCCTCTCAAGATCCTGAACCTAATCCCATCTGCAAAGTTCCTTCTGCCACATAAGAGAACATATACCCACAAGTTCTGGGTATTAGGACGTGGACATCTTTGGGGCCATTATGCACACCCTACCTTTCAACTCTCCCTATCAGTGATCTGCAGAGGAGCCCGGTATTACTTCAAAGACAGCTTTGCAAGTATCTTTCCAGGAAAGCCAAAGCTTCCCCTTCCCCTCATGCCTACCACATTTCCAGACACTGAGGCACAAGTTCTGGGACAAGGAAAGAGGGTAAATGAAAAAGAAAAAACAAAAACAACTCCCTATTTGCAGCAGCCAACCATGTGTCAAACGCAGGGCAAGGTGCTTTGCATACACACTTGAGAGTCTGGTCTCACCTTTGCCAGTTAGCACAGAGGAGAATGAGGCTCAGAGAGGTTAGGGAACTTGCCCAAGATCTCACAGCCTGCAAATGGTGCATCCGGGGTTCAAATCCAGGCCTGTCCGGCTCTCACACTGGGCTACAGAGAAAAAACTTGGATCTTTTTGAGATTTTTTTTTTCTTTTGGTCCCGAAAAGTTGTTCACAGTAAAACCCCTTCCTTTTGGGTAGGAAATTATGCAAAGCATGTGCCACTGCCTCCACTCGCTTGGAGACTGAGCAGAGAAAGATCTATTTGGGGGCTTTACGCTCCGGTGATCTGCTTACTCGGCCTCAAACTCACCACCCGCTGCTTATACATTTTTTTCTACAGAGGCCACTTCCTGAGGCTCAAGTGAGGCAAGCTGGGGAGTCTGCCCAGCAAGACCAGCGCCGGCTCAGAGCAGGACGCAGGGCAAGAAGCAGGGCCAGCTCCGAGCAGGTCAGAGACCCCAGGGCCCGCCTCCAAACAAAACCGAACCACGTTAGAAGCGGCAGAGTCTGCCCGTGAGCCTGTCGCCAAAATACACAGCGTCCAAGCCTGCGACAAAGGCAACAGCCACGGAGGCTGCCCTTCTTATTATTTTATTCATTCATTCACGTTATTCAAAGGAGCCCCGGACTGAAAACGCCTGCAATGTCTGTCACTTAGTTTTGGGGGTAGTTTGTTATAAGCAAGAGATAACTGAAACCATTATTACTACTCTCAGTAACAACCACCATCATTTAGCACTCGCCGTGTGCCAGGCATTCTTCTCATCACTCACAGGAACTCATTAAATCCTCACAGCAATCCAGCGAAGTGGACCATATTTTCCCCCCATTTTACAGAAGGGGAAACTGAGGTGCCCAAGGTCATCCATCAGAAGGGTGGGTGGAATACCACTCATCAGTAGAAAAGAACAGACTACTAGGACCTGCAACCACACACATGAACCTCAAGAACACCACGCTGAGTGAAAGAAGCCAACCACAAAATAGCACATACTGTATGTGCTATTCCATTTAAGTGAAATTCTAATACACACAAAACAAGCCCAGAAAGGCAGAAAGCAGGTCAGGAGGTGCCTGGCGCAGGAGTGAACAGGCGGGTGCTGACTGCAAAAGGTACACGAGGGAGCTTTCTGGGGTGATGGAGGGGTGGTGGTTACACATGCGTACACGTGTCAAAATGCACTTAACCATATTCTTAAAATGGGACCATTCCATTGCATGTAAATTATCTCTCCATAAAGTTCATTTTTTAAAGTTTTTTTTAAAATACCAGATACGGGCTTCCCTGGTGGCGCAGTGGTTGAGAGTCCGCCTGCCGGTGCAGGGGACGTGGGTTCGTGCCCTGGTCCGGGAAGATCCCACATGCCGCGGAGCGCCTGGGCCCGTGAGCCATGACCGCTGAGCCTGCGCGTCCGGAGCCTATGCTCCGTAACGGGAGAGGCCACAGCAGTGAGAGGCCCGCGTACCACAAAAAAAAAAAAAAAAAAAAAAAAACCCACCAGCTCCCATGATGCTCCCCTCCATCCTCCTCCCTTATGCCAAGTTGATGAGGTAGGCAGCCCTCCGTTTCCATGGGAACTCATGACAAGGGGCACCCTCAAGGAAACTACGCCAACCATTTCCTTCTGCCTGCGAGTGCCAACCAGGCCTGCCACATCTGACGAAGGCTGTGCTTGGATGGGTGGCTCTGGCCTGGCTGTCATCCAGACCACAGAGGCCTCCAGAAACACTGCCCTCGCTGGACAGATGGTTCCTGAAGCTCAGGTCTCCAGAGCTGCATTTCACTACAGCTGAAGGGTATCGCTAGGCTAGGCAGGGGAAGGATGGCATTCATCCACTGAGATGATGTGCACAGTGTACCCAGCATGTGCTGGTCACTGGGCAGTGCCCTGGAACACTGAGCAGGACAAACACGGCCCCCCTTCCAAGGGCTGACACAAATGCAAAACCCACAGAAATAAGGAGTGATCACCAGCTGCGCAAAGCTCCCCAGGAGAAGGGCGTGGTGGAATGAGAGAGAATAACGCGGACGTGTGCCAGACAGGGAGGCAGGAGGCTAGGAGTCAACTGAACTCAGATCCGGAGCCAGAAAGGGCCTCACCAGGGAGGAAACCGAGGCACAGAGGGTGGAAGTGGTCAGAAAAACTCTAAGAGCTTAAGACACCAGCTCACTGAATTCTCACGACCGCCCTACGAAGTCCTGCAATCCTCACTTGACAGATAGGGCACTTGGGCCCGCAGAGAGGAAGTGACTGAGCCACGTCACATGGTGGGAAGGAACAGAGAGGAGATGACCCCCAGCTCTCTCCATCGTGCCCCTCCCTCCCAGAATCTGACTTCTCCTTTCAGTCTTGCTCTCAACCCCAAAGATTCACTTAATCCTTTTTTCCCTCCCCTAGAGAGGAAGGGACACTAGACTAAATGCTCCGTGCAAGCAGGCAACGTGTCACGACCAGGCACATGTGTCAAAAGTACTCAATAAATGTGTTACGTGACAGAATTATCACCTACCCTCTGAAATGCTGCATTCACATTTGCAGTCTTTCCTGAAGGGCAGGTGCAGTTTGAGAACTTCACTTTGACCAACTGTGCTTACTGAAGCTGTAGTCACACAATATACAACTGATAAAGTACCTTGACGAGGCAGTAGACAGTGACCCTCAAGTGGGTGCATTTCATCTCACACCTCCTCCCACCAAGAGGGGTATCCCTCACCTTGAATCTGGGCCGGGCTCGTGACCTGCTCTGACCAACAGGATGAGACAGAAGTGACACTGTGCAAGTTCTAGAGCCCAGACATCAAGAAACCTTGCTGCTTCTGCCTCTGAGAACATTTCTTTCTTTCTTTTCTTCTCTTTTCTTCTGGCTGCCCAGCATGTGGGATCTTAGTTCCCTGACGAGAGATCAAACCCGTGTCTCCTGCATCGGAAGCGCAGAGTCTTAACATCTGGACTGCCAAGGAAGTTCCCATCAGAACGTTTCTTTGAGACTGCCACATTAGGGATCCAGGCTGGCCTGCTGGAGGATGAGAGGCCACACGGAGAACAGAAGCCCCCAGCCAACAGCCAGCACCAACTGCCAACCACGCGAGTGAGGCCATCTCGGAACGTCCACGCGAGTGAGGCCAGCGCAACCAGCAGAGGAACAGCCTCAGAACCGTGCAACGTAACAAATGGGTGCAGTTTTAAGCCACTAAGTTTTGGGGTAGTTTGTTACAGAGCCATAGCTAACTGAAACCATTATGACCACTATCAACAAAAACTACCGTTCGTTTAGCAGTTACTATGTGCCAGGCGTTCTCCTCATCACTCGTACATTAACTCATTTAATCCACACAACATTCTGATAAAGGGGATAATGTTTTCTCCTACTCTACATAAAGGGGAAGCTAGGGTGTCAAGAGGTGAAGTGACTTACCCAAGGACACCCACCGGTGACCATCTGAACTCAGATCCTCTGACTCAAGCCCACAATCTTAATCCCTTACCACTAATAAGAGCTTACATTGATTCAGCTTTCTCTGTATGTTAGCAATTCAACAAAATGCTCTGCATGAATTAACTCACTAAAAATTCACCACAATTGGCAAGGTAGTTGTGACTATCCTCATTTTACGAATGGGGAAAGGGCCCAGAGAGGTGAAGTAATGTGCTCCAGGTCACAGAGCTAGAGAGAGAGCACGCCAGGATTTGGACAGACTGTGTGGTTCCAGTGTGTTGGTTCTTAACCACTCTTCTACACTGGCCTCTCTCTACAGTAACGAAATTCCTTATGTCTCCCCAAACTGCTACGTTCATTCTAAAGCCACACGACTGCCTTTGGATCAACGCTGCCTACTGCTTTGTGAAAATGCTGACGGCACACACCACGTACCACTCTTTAACACAGCCCACGTCCGAGCTTCACAAACAGGCTGGAACACCACGCGTGGTCTTTGGGCATCACACACACATACACACACTCTCTCAAGCTCCCCAGAAGAATAAGACTCCTCTCCAGCGTAATAATAAAAATAATAACACCTAAGAAAGCTTTTTGTTCTTAGCGAGGGGCAGATGTTTTACAGGCCCTAATTCATTCTATCATCACAGCTGCCCAAGGACAGAGGTGCTAACACTCCCATTTTACACACAGGGGGACTGAGGCCTCAACGTCCTCAGAGAGGCCTTTGTTGACCACCCCACCATGGGTTCTCCCGCCCCTTGAGGTGCCGTCATTAGTAAAGACGGGTCTTCGTCTTCATTTCCCTTTCACTACCCACCTCCTCCCGCCAGCCTACGAGGGTCACGAGAAGGATCTTGTCATTTGCCTATTTATGCAGCATCCAACACCTTTAGTGCCTGTCAGGCTCTAAGCAGGTAGCTGAGCAATGGGTACAGGAGCAAAGAAACTGGCTCACAGGAGACCCACAGCCCAGCTGAAAGCACCGGGACGTGGCCCCGGGCATCCGAGCCCTGCCCCACGCACAGTAACAATGTGTCCACCATCTTGGCTCTCCCTTCTGGAAACCCACCTTCTCAGGAGTGAGTAGTCATCTCTAACCAGGGACAAGGGCCCCTTCTCAGACTTGTCACGTGGCCCTTTCATGGCCCAAACTGGGTAGTGCCGAGCAACTCAGTGTCTGAGGGCTAAGTGTAAGGGTGCTAAATACCACGCATTACGGGCCCTCAGGGGTTTCTGCCAAGAAGGCCACGGGCATCTAAGGAGCCAGCTACACCAGGGCTGGGACAACATGAGGCAGCGAAGCTGGATCCCCCCAAGGAGGCCCTGGGCTGCCTGAGAGGGACTTGCGTTCTGGACGGCTTCGGAGCTCCCTTAACCTTTGGAAGGGCCAGGAGAACCTCAGAGCCACAGGATGAGTCGACAAAACCCAAGCAGGGCTGGGCAGAAGGGAAAACAGTCCCCAACCATGGCGGTTCTAAAGAAACAAATCAGGAAGCCTTGGAGGCGGGTCTCACAGCCCCCAGACTTCCCCCTGGAGGGACAGGTCACCCTGCGGCTGTATCTTCTGCCTCTGGGACCCTGAGGGCTCGGCCGAGCACGAGCAGTTCGCTGTCCTGCGTGGCCCCCACCTGCTCAGGCCGAGACCCCCTGGGGAGGACTCGGAGAGGCTCACCGGCTAGCCTGGCCCCACAGGGAGAGCAGAGACCCTCCAGGTGAAAGACCCCTCCCCTCTTCCGTCCAGAGAGCCTCCTCGTGCAACGGCTGCGTCTCCCTTCACTCACGCTCGGCACGAACGGCCATCGCAGGAGGTGGCCTCACGGTGGTTCACTTTAAGCCTCTGAACTCCCTGACTGTGAACAATGACTACACGTTCCTTTCAACCCTGGGAAGAAAGAAACGCTTAAAAATTAACCTCAACAACCAGAAGGTTTAGTCCTGGAAGGAGATTTGTCAGGTTGGCACGACTTCTATTATTATTAATTTTTTTTTTAATTTATTCTTGGCTGCGTTGGGTCTTCGTTGCTGCGCATGAGTTTTCTCTAGTTGCAGTGAGCAGGGGCTACTCTTCGTTGTGGTGCACGGGCTTCTCACTGCGGTGGCTTCTCTTGTGGTGGAGCACAGGCTCTAGGCGTGCGGGCTTCAGTAGTTGTGGCACACGGGATCAGTAGTTGTGGCTCGTGGACTCCAGAACACAGGCTCAGTAGTTGTGGTGCACGGGCTTAGCTGCTCCGTGACATGTGGGATCTTCCCAGACCAGGGATCGAACCCGTGTCCCCTGCATTGGCAGGCGGATTCTTAACCACTGTGCCACCAGGGAAGTCCTGGCAGGACTTCTGAAACAAACAGTCCCAGTAGTTACAGAAGTAGCTACGTGCTAGCATGATCCTCAGCACAGACGTTTACAGAGCACTTACTCTGGGCCAAACTCTGTGCTACAAACCTAGCATGTGTGAGCTCATTTGATCCTTACCCCAACCCTTGATAGTCCCACGGTACAAAGAAACTGAGTTCAGAGAGGTTAAATCAACTGCCCATGGTCACACAGCAAGGGAGCACAGGGCCATGACAGGGGCTGGGGGCTCTGCTCTCCAACCTCCCTGTGCTTCATCTCCCATGGGGTGCCCTTCAGTCCAGTCCCTGCTATACTCACCTCACTAATCCCCCCAGGCAGGTCCTCTACTCCTGAACGCTCTGACCTAAGACCATATCCCTACCCCTTGGCTCAGCTAAAACAGGCAGGTCGCCTCCAAAGACTATGTCCACCAAGGACAACAGTGACATAAACAGTGGAACAGAAAACAAACAGCAAAGAGACATTCCATCCCTCAGACCCAAGTGCTTCCTTCTTACTGTGTTTTAAGACATTTGTACAGACCCTGGCCTGGATTCCCCATCCTCTACCTCCCACCCTCTCTCCCTGAGGAGGAGACCCTCTTAATATGCCCTTACCAGAGCAGCCTTCTGCACATCCAGACATGTCCAAGGTCAAGGCCCAGAGAGTCAGAGAGACTCCCTGGCTACCAGTCTTATCTCTGGTGGGTTAAAGACAGACACAATTTCTGTGCCACTCTTCCCATTACGACGTAGAATCTACTTCCCTCCCCTTGACTCTGGGCTGGCCTTGTGACTTGCTTTGACCAGAAGAACGCAGCAGAAGTGACACCTTGTCACTTTCGACCCCAACCCTTAAGAGGACCTGCAGGTGAAGACCTAAATAGACATTTCTCCAAAGAAGATATACAGACTGCCAACAAACACATGAAAGAATGCTCAACATCACTAATCATTAGAGAAATGCAAATCAAAACTACAATGAGATATCATCTCACACCAGTCAGAATGGCCATCATCAAAAAATCTAGAAACAATAAATGTTGGAGAGGGTGTGGAGAAAAGGGAACACTCTTGCACTGCTGGTGGGAATGTGAATTGGTTCAGCCACTATGGAGAACAGTATGGAGGTTCCTTAAAGAACTAAAAATAGAACTACCATACGACCCAGCAATCCCACTACTGGGCATATACCCTGAGAAAACCAAAATTCAAAAAGAGTCATGTACCAAAATGTTCATTGCAGCTCTAGTTACAATAGCCCGGAGATGGAAACAACCTAAGTGCCCATCATCGGATGAATGGATAAAGAAGATGTGGCACATATATACAATGGAATATTACTCAGCCATAAAAAGAAACGAAATTGAGCTATTTGCAATGAGGTGGATAGACCTAGAGTCTGTCATACAGAGTGAAGTAAGTCAGAAAGAAAAAGACAAATACCTTATGCTAACACATATATATGGAATTTAAGAAAAAAAAATGTCATGAAGAACCTAGTGGTAAGACAGGAACAAAGACGCAGACCTACTGGAGAACGGACTTGAGGTTATGGGGAGGGGGAAGGGTGAGCTGTGACAGGGCAAGAGAGAGTCATGGACATATACACACTAACAAACGTAGTAAGGTAGATAGCTAGTGGGAAGCAGCCGCATGGCACAGGGATATTGGCTTGGTGCTTTGTGACAGCCTGGAGGGGTGGGATAGGGAGGGTGGGAGGGAGGGAGACGCAAGAGGGAAGACATATGGGAACATATGTATATGTATAACTGATTCACTTTGTTATAAAGCAGAAACTAACACACCATTGTAAAGCAATTATACCTCAATAAAGATGTTAAAAATAAAATAAAATAAAATAAAAATAAAAATAAAAAAGAGGACCTGCAGGTTCCTCTCCCTCTTGTGCCCCCCCGCCCACAGAAGCCAATCACCATGTAAGAAGTCCAACTAGTACAAGACCACTGAGCTGTGAGAAAGCCCAAGCCAGCCATGTGGAGGGAGGGAGGCAGACAGACAGACTGACTGCAGGAAGGAGCATGGAGGAACAGACACGACCGGAGAGCCTTCTTGGGACTTCCAGCCCAGCCAGGAGCTGACCACATCCAGGTGAAGCACTGCAGTCAACCCCCAGGAGGACAGAACCACACCCAGCCGAGGCCTGCCCAAATTCCTGACCCACAAAACTGTGTTCTGAGATGGTTTGTTATACAGCAATAGAGAATCGAAACACCATCCCCAAACTGGCTTCCAGGCCTGGGGGATGGGGAGGCAGAGGGCGGATCGCCTTCCCAGGAGACTGACACCAGGAAAGGTCTCCCCCTTTGTGAGTCCGGGACCCTGGGTAAGCAAAGCCTTCCCCTACCAATGACACTGCCAACAAAAGCACTCAATGAACACTGAGCTTAAGGCTTCACAGAGCTGCCTCTGGTCTGCACACCAACTCACAAGGCAGGTACCATCACTGCACCCATTTGACAGATGCAGACACTGAAGCAGGAAGTCACACACAGACAGAGTAGCAGAGCCAGGACTCAAGCCCAGGCTTGTCCAACTCCAACACTGCTGTTACACGTGATGTGACCTCCCGCAGCCCATCAACTGCCCCAGGGTCCCCCCAGGAAGTGCACACTCACAGCCCTCTGGGACACAGGTCAGATTTGGCCTCGAG